CAGTAAATTGTCTTAAGTAGACTAAATCATACAATTACTGAATTCGAAACGTACGGTCATCTGTTTCTAAACGAGATTAGAAGTGATTTGCTTTTTCAAAAGTTGGTACTTAACCTATCCCAATAACAGACGTTAACATAAGAAAGTGTAGCAGTGGTGCACCGCTACATGTATTGTGGTTTCATCTATTTTGGCAAAGGGATGGTCCAATATATTCGACCGATTAGCTGAGCACCTCCGATATAGAACTTAGTATTACAATAAGGTGACTCTCTCGGGCCGGATATGCCACTGGACACTCAGAATTGTGAAGGGTGTGCCAAAACTACCGCTTTTGGATGGCAAAAGTGAACTTCTCGAAATCATTGGCTAGGACACCACCTATTAACGTTTATGCCTAATCTAGCTGCCACACGCAATCATAGTATTGTTTTACATGACAGTCGTGCTACAATATGCATAGTATTAGTGGACATTTACTCTCAATATCCTCATACTAAGCTCGGCTGTAGTCGCAGAAGGCATGGTTAACTGTGAATGAAAGTCTGATTAAATTTAGCTAAATCGGACCTATTTACCCTAATGTTGGTCCGTTTTCTTTAAATCGGTTCCGAGATAAGCATGCAAATCGGGAGGCAAATTGATGAAAATTTCAATCCATTTTCACCACAACACGTTACAATCGAGCAACATTTTTTTGCTTTTGACACGTATATCCGCTTGAAGAGGATCTTCATAGAACACAAGTTCGTGAGAATTATGGGTGTGGTTTCGGTGCACGGCGACTCGGACTGGAATGCGCAGATGCAGCGCGCGGGCGGCAAGCTGGTGGTGGTTGACTTCTCGGCCGTCTGGTGCGGCCCGTGCCAGCACATCAAGCCCGTGTACCATCAGCTGAGCGACCAGTATCATGACGTGGTGTTTCTCGAAGTGGATGAGGCGCAGAACCGCTCGCTCATCGGCGCTCTGGGCGTGCGCGGGTTCCCCACCTTCCACTTCTACGTGAACCAAAGCAAGGTGGACGAACTCGTAGGCGCCGACCCGAACCAGCTTCGCGCCAAGATCGAGCAGTGGCGTCAGTCGGCTTTCAACCCTTTCGCGTCTCCCGGTGTGACACTTGGTGCCAGCTCCGGCAGCTCAGCCAAGCCCCTGTCAGCTGCCGAGGCTCGTGAGGCCAGACTTAAGCGATTCAACAACGTGAGCCTGGTGCCCAACGTTCCGACGCCGGCTCCTGCCGCTCCGGCTGCTGCCGCACCGGCGGTACCGGACTCCAACGTGGTGTGCGACCCTGTTACCGGTGTGTGTCGTTCTAAGGACGACGATGTGGAGATGAAGGAAGAAAGCGGTGAAATGGGGCCTCCGCCTGTGAACGAGGAGCTGTTGACGCAGCTGAAGGAAATGGGCTTTGACGATCTTCGTTCCCGCAAGGCGCTGCTTGCAACGGATAACCAGGGACTCGAGATGGCTATTAACTGGCTGGGTGATCACCAGGACGATGCGGATATTGATGAGCCCATCAAGTTTGTGGACTTGTCAAAGGCTGCACCGAAGCGTGAGTTGACTCCCGATGAGAAGGCTGCCAAAGTGGAGGAGTTAAAGGCTCGGATTGCCAAGAAACGTTCGGAGCGCGAGGAACAGGAGAAGCTGGATCAACGTACCAATGAATTGAAGCGTCGTACCGAGGGACAGGGAATGCAGGAGGCCCGTGAAGAGATTGAAGCCATTCAGCGGAAGATCGCGGCGGAGAAGATGAAGAAGGACAAGGAAGACGCCAAGCGAGAGCGTGAGCGTCTGCGTAAGCAGCTTGAGATGGACAAGCGTGAACGTCAAGCTCGTGGTGGACGATTGGGTGGTCCTCCTATCGACGTTGCACCCATTGACGTGAGCTCGAAGAAGGAGGAGGAAGCGGAGAAGAAGAGTCCCGTCCTGACCCCCAAGGAGCAGATCGTGAAGAACGTGGGCATTCTCAAGAAATACCGCGTTGGTAACGATGGTCTCACGGCTCTCAAGACGCTCAACGTGTATGTAAAGAACCTGATCGAGAAGCCCGAAGAGGAGAAATTCCGCATCATCAACCTAGAGAACGCGGCGTTCCGTAAGCGTGTTGCCAGCCTCGTCGGAGGTGTCGCTTTCCTCAAGAGCCTTGGCTACGAGAAGGATGAAGCTGATGGCAATCTCAAGCTCTCGGTGGAAAACCGCGACATGGAGTTGTTGCAATACGCTCGCACTCAGCTTCAGGGCGCTATTGCGGAGCTCTCCAACTGAGAGATTAAATAACATCACGATTAGAGCTCACTTGCTCTTTTCTCACCTGTTTTTGGCATCAATTTCATTCAAATATTCTTTGAAAAACTCCATCTTTAAAGCGAGAAAAAGCGACCAAACAATCCCTTGCGTTGTTCGGTTGGCTTATCTTCTTCATCCGGCTTGGGCTTGACAACGAATTCCCCAGTCTCAGCGCGTTTATTGGTTTCCTGCAACGGAACATGGGCACCTCCAATAGGCGGAGAGATGACGTCGGTCTGGATGCCACTAACGATAATGGACACATACACAGAGCCCTCCAGAGACTGATCGTAGCATGTGCCGAAGATGATGTTGGCTTCGTCGTGTACACGGCTGCGGATGATCTCCATGATTTCATCCACTTCGAACAAAGTCATGTCCTCTCCACCGCGAATAGTGACTAGCAGACCATGCGCGGACTCGGTGGGAAGGTCACCAAGCAGCGGGTTCACTAGAGCCTGTTCGGCTGCTTTCCGAGCACGACCCTCCTCGCTTGAGATACCTGAGCCCATAATGGCACGACCTGCATTCGATAGAATCGTCTTGATGTCGGCAAAGTCCAGATTGATAAGTCCCGGTCGAACGATCAAATCCGTGACACCCTTAACTCCTTCCAGTAGCACATCGTCCGCATACCGGAAGGCTTCCAACATGGTGGTACTCTTGTCTGCCAGAGCCAATAAGTTCTGGTTGGGCACGACAATTAAAGTGTCGACGTACTTGGCCAGTTCTTTTACGCCAGCATTGGCCAGTCGAGTACGGTTGGGTCCTTCGGATCGAAACGGGGTGCTTACCACCCCAACCGTTAGGATGCCTAACTCCCTGGCTACACTGGCTACGACAGGAGCTGCTCCTGTGCAGGTTCCTCCACCCATTCCGCCAGTAATAAACAACATGTTGCTGTCCTGTAGCATCTGCTGGATTTCACTTTTCTGCTGTTCCGCAGAGCGTTTGCCAAGCTCGGGTTTGGATCCAGCTCCCAGTCCCTTGGTGATATCTTTGCCCAACGTGATTTTATGCGGCGCCAACGAGCGTCCCAAAGCCTGGCAGTCAGTGTTGGCCACAATAAACTCGACACCTTCAAGCTGCGACGCGATCATGTTGTTGACAGCATTGCTTCCAGCTCCACCAAGTCCCATGACCGTGATCCACGGCTTCCCGTCCTTGAAGGAGGACATCAGCGGACGCTTCTTACCTTCCTCCTTATCCGCAGCTTGCGTCTGGGTCGAACTTGTCGAAGCAGAGGCTTTGGCAGCTGTGGCTGCACGCGCTGCTGGCGTTGACCGCTTCCGTCGTTCACTAGTGCGCTTTGAAGCTCTCCGCGGTGCCGGGGAGGAGGCTTCGCTGCCGTTCCCGTTGAGTTTCGCGGAGTCGAACGTGACGCTGGGCTCATGCAACCATCGCGCGGACTGTAGCAGTGGCGACGACCGACGAGCCGAGAGCGATGCCACTCGTTGAGACTGGAGCAGGAGTGACGTGCAACGCGAAGTCATGGAGGAGGAAGATCCGGGGAGGCAAGGGGAACGCTGTTACCACCACCTGGTCACTTGGTCGACACGAGGGTTCTTTTTGAGAGCCACAAAAGGCATGCGAATTTTGACCAATGAGGATGATGTAAATGTTGCAATCTTTATTATGGATATGCGTACATGTATTGACTGGGCACACACTTGCTATTTGGACATCCTTCTTTAAATCCATCGTTTTAATCCTTTTCCCGAAAGTCAATGCATTCAGTCGACAAACCTCATAGATTCTGTTTCAGAATAACGTAAGGCTCAAGAATTTTACAGAATGAATGTTGACATCCTTGGAATCTTGGAGTCCATTGCCAACGGAAACGGATAACAACCTGTTCGCAATAACGAATGAATTGTTGAAATATGTTTTTCAAATGTTACGGGCCCATGTCCAGCAGCAAGGTACTGCGGTAATAGTTACTGTAGTACTGTACAAGATAACAAGAAGTCCAGCAGTTTTTACTACAATGTGTACATGTACATGTATTGTTCACGCTGTCGACCGTCGACAGCTTGACTCGACGATCCTCTCCTGTGACAGGACTTCTGTTCTGACGATCAGTTTGTTTACTTTACGACTTGTGACGGGCGCTCGGACTCCAACTCATGCCTAATAATTAGTATCGGTAAATATAAATTTAACTAATAATCATTCATTATTGCCTTTCATATATTGAAATTACAGTATTAAAAAAACTGTAAAACAAAATAAAAGGCCAACCCATTCAAGTCTTCTTGTCTAATAACGGAGCCAGGACTAGGACTTTCAACTCCTCATTTTTTTTCTTTACCAGTAACCCGATCGACTTCTTCTACAGCATACAATCACCTCGACTTCCTACCCCAGCCGCTTCCCTTCCTGTCTGTACATTTTTAAACTCTTAATTAAAAGGGTTAACAGTAATACGTAGGTAATAGTAAGGGATTTGCAGAGGAATTAGGACTTTGTAATTCGTCTGCAAATCCGTTTCTATTGCTTACCTTAAAATTAAATTATTTAAGTAGAGTTTAGGCTTTTTGCACAACGTAAGTACAAATAAATGTAGTGAAGTTGCGCGGCTCGAAGAATGCTAATTATGACAATGAAAAGCAATCGAAGGTCGCACAATAAAGCGTGCAATGCAACGTCCCTTATCTAGTCCTGTTAACCTGCAAGGCAATTCGCAGGTGTTCTACAAGTAAACCTACTACTGTAATATAGTTTAGCTTTTCCCTTCGAACCGCATGCTGTTGCTCATCGCTCAGCATGGGATGTGTTTTTGGCGGCCGCTCTCAGCTCCCGCTGGCTGTTGTGACCAACAACTGTGTTGTAAACACTGCCTTCATTCCGACATTTCCCTCGTAGGACACAAGTTCGCTCTGGTTTGTGCGGCCGGCAATAGCTGCTCAAGATCACTCATGCGTGTGCTGTACGTATTCCTCGCCGCCACCGCAGCCCTCCTTGTGAACAGCGCTGTTGAGTCGGCGACCCCTGCCGAGACTAAAACTTCCAAGCTGGTTAGCGGCGGCAACGAAGGCAATTTACAGAAGCGTAATCTGAGAAGACAAATCGGTTTTCTCGAATGGCCGGAAGAGCTTGAGGAGTTCGTTCATCACCACCACCACATCCGAGAAGTGTTCACGAGGTGGTGCCTGGAAGACCATGAACCGAAAGAAGCAATGGAGGACTTGAGGGAAGAGCGCGATCCGGCGGCGGAGATGGCATATAAGAAGTATATGGTAAAGAGATCGCATGGTAGAAAACTTGTTGTTGCTGAATGCAACATTTAATGAAGCGGTAGTATGAGACTGGCCGGTGAATGTTATATTTTATTTTTGATGGTAGCAGCGAATTGAAGCTCCAAATATCCAGCTACGAAAGTATAACATTGGTGAGGCTCGCAGTTCTTAAGCTCAATTTTTCATTCAGCTTTACGTCGCATCAACTAGCGATCCATCTACTGATGCTTCACTTAGTGTTGTACTCAGCAACAGTCCATTTCCTACTGTGCGATCTCCTTGACGCCATATACTTCTTGTAGACCGCCACAGGATTGCGCTCTTCTCTAATGTCTTCCTTTGCTTCTTTCGGCTCGTGGTCTTCTAGCCACCAACGTGCGAAGACTTCGCGGATGTAGTGGTGGTGCTTGACGAATTTCTCAAGTTCTTCCGGCCACTCAAGAAGGCTTTGGCTTCTCAGGCGCCGTGTCTGCAAGATGTCAGCGTTGTCATCGACGATCAGCTTTGAACTAAGACTTCGTTTAGCCTTGATGATATGACAGAGTTGCTCGCGAAAAGGGAGGCAGCCGCAGCTAGAAGAGCGTAATGCACACGCATTAATACTGTCCGGGTGTACTTGAGTTTGCCCGAAAAATTGCGAAATGCCAGAATGCCCACAGCATCAACGCACGTCTTCATGCAAACCAACAAGCAGTAAAAACCAGGGAATTGATATGCGATTACTGTGACCGTTGACAGGTAAATCCCTCGGATCCACGTCTAGGAAAAGAAGGATTAACTTCGGTTCTCTTTCTGCCATGAGTGCATGCAGTAGTAGTTGGCTTCTTAGTTCAACAGAACTAATATATTTCAGAAAGACTGACTTATCCAAGAACAGGAAAACAACGTTTGTATTACGTCGAGAATGCCTTTACAAAGTTCAGTTCACAAGCATTATCATCAGAAATTCTTCCTTCCAGTAACCAAAGGCGTTCACTTGAGAAACTACTACTCAAGTATTTCATCTTGATGTTTCTGGTATCCTACAACAACGAAGATCTCATGCGGTCGTCTTTTCGAGCGTAAGGAATAACATTTACTTACATCACATGTAGGCTATTGACATACTGACAGTAACGCTACAGTATGATACTGTAGGGCTGCTCAGAGTTAGCTTGGGATGTGCCCCTGTGGCTGCTCTCAGCAGCGTGAACAAGTATGGGTCTTGCTTTCCCCGTTTGCTTCATCTTCTTCTCGGTGACCAATCTAGTTACTTTATCTTTTACATGAAGAGGGAGACGGCTGAGGAGATGTCTGGAAATCGTCGGCCCATCGGGGCGTGACAGAACTGAAGCTACATGTATTACATTCCATAGAGGTTCGGCGACGAGTAGCGGATCTGCGTGTGTGATTACTTCTGGAAGTACAAACCCTCGAGCTCTACCATTTGTCATGAGTAGATCTTTGATTCTGCTTTTAATGTATTCCACTGCTAGCACATTTCGGACCCTTAGCTCTCATCAATACGTGCAACGTGGAGAAGTGTTGAAAGGTCGACATGCTTCTAAAACGGCATTGGGAAGTCGATACTACATGTAGTAACACCGTCGTCTCAAACTGTACGACGGCCATACTTGCGACCACGAGGCTATAAAACTCCAAGCATCACAACGATTGTTTCTGTCATATGCTAATAAATCACCTGTTGGTTGTTAACGTCCTTCGCTTTCTTCTGATCCCGCTCCGTTTGCTTGTGTCTTCAAAATGCCAAGCAAGCCCCTCTACTTGGGGGGTCTACTTGACCTGCCATGCATGGTTGACTCAACTCACCATTCTACACCAAGTCTACAACTGCTTCATTAATCTGTCCTTGGCCAATCTTCTCCAGCATTCTAGCAACGACAGCTCATCTAGTCGCGTGGCCGATGGATATGCCATGTTGAAGTTGTGCCACCTTTGAATGCAAAGTATCAAGCAAACGCCACATATCAATTAATGAACCAGTTTGCACAATTTAATCAGAAAATAATACTTACGAGTTGCAGCGAGTTGTGCAGCGGTACGACGGTTTCTATGGTCGAGGAAGCGGATATCTTTTCTTCCCTGTCCGTTGCCGCCGGGTCATCATTTTCATCAGCGACCACCTTACTGATCACTCCACGGTCCTCGGCTGGAGGCGTTAGTGACAATATCGAAGGTGGCGGAGACGTCTCTGTTGCCTCTGTTGACATCTGGATTGCTGACAATTGGGTGCTAACCGGCCCCAAACTCACCTCACTTTCTCCATTGCCATCACCGTTTTCACTCAGGCTATTCCGTACCCACTCTTCGTATGTCTGTTCGTCACCCTCAACGTCTTGATCGTCGTCGACAGGATGCAAGTACGCGTACTTGCCAATGACTCCCACGCCCAAGATCTTCTCTGGAATAAAGTCACCACATGCCGAGTAATTCTGCATCAGCAGCTTAGTGCATTGTCGACCATTGTTCTCCTGCAATACCCTTACAGCCTCTGCAAACTCCATCGCATCAATGCGAATGTCATTCACAGCAACGATGTGGTTATCTGGGCGGATAGTGACCCAGTCGATGTCCTCTCCGACGACAATACCGATCCGTTTGAGTACAATCAATGGCTGATCTATGAACTCGAACTCCGGAATGCTCTCCACCTCGACCACACGTTCATATAGGAACAATTCATACTGGAAGATCTCCCCCACTGAAGCCTGTACAACTGCATTGCAGCCACTAGCGACCACTTCTCGGGACATTGTGTTGATATCGCTCTTCACGTACACAAATCGAACCGTGCTGGCTGGTGGGATGTCCTTTGTACTGATAGTAAGTTGCCCATGTGCACCTGCAGGCACATAGTGATACGAGCCCGTCTCAATCTCTGCCGAATCTTCTTCCGAAATGAGTACCTGGATATAATCCTTCACAGAATGACTCTCCGGGACGTCGTACTCCACTGCACAAAAAAATGACATTAGTGCCAACCTCTCCTCCTCATATCAACAATGTCCTTACATGTAACAAACGACCCTTTTTCGACCTGTCCGCCCATATCCAGTTGTACAATTCCACTCGGACGAAATGCCAGTAGTTTGATCGCGTAGGCGCTCTTGTCAGTGATCTGGTCCAGAGCTTCTTTTAGTTCCTGCGCTTGGGCCACCCACTCGGACATGTGCCCTCTCTGTAGTAAATCTTGCGGTAACAAACCGTAACTCTCTCGCATGGGTTTTGCCCCGGCATGGATCAGCATCTTTATAGCCACTGCGTTCTGCACGAAGCACGCGTGGTGTAGTGCTGTCCATCCATTCTCGTCTTTGTGATCCACATTGACTCGCCGCTGCAGCAGTAGATGCAGGATCTCGGCCTCTTTGGGCATGAGTTCCAGATCGGTGTCATCTCTGACCTCGTTCACCGTTTCCTCAGTCTCACTGTTGCTACTTTCCGCCACGATCTGCTCATGTGTCTGAGTGTTGGTCTCTGTCTCCTCGTCGCTTTCCACGAAGCCATGTAGGTCGTCGAAGTCGTCGATCAGCTCCTGATGCTCTCGCAGATGCTTCAAGCTCGCGACAGCTAATAGCAACGGCGTGCGTCCACTGTCGTCCGTGGCTTCGAGCTCCTCGGCCGTCGCCGTCTTAAGTAGACGATGAACTTCCGCCAAGTCCCCATACTCGCACGCGCTGTGCAGCGTCACGGTGTTCCCCATGGCCGTTGCACGTGAATGGGGGATCGCTATTGAATACGGTAAAACGTCCGACGTTCAAACCTATCACATATCATATTTGCCACGTGTATGAAATATATCAGGTTTGACCAGTCTGGAACACAGGGCAAAAATCGGTACAGGTATCGGGAGAGCGGATGCTGCGCGTTCATGACAAGTGCGTAGGTCCTGCTGTGTATTAGTGTGAACGAGAACGCTAACGATGGTGTGGTGTATAGTGTGCTGCTTCGTTCGGTGTCGGTATTGCCTGTGCTGATGGTAGCAGCGATCATAACGCTGGAGTACTATGTGTTCATGACGGAACACTGGGTGAAGGAATTCCAGCGGTCCGTGGGGCTCTTCGTGCTGCTGCGGATACTGGAGGCAGCGCTTTTCCACTTCGTGACTGGTTGCATGCTGGTGGCGTATTATAAGGTGGTGTTCACAGGTAAGTGCGTGATAGGAGAGGAAAAATAGAGAGACTGAGCCTACGGATGCTCTGCTGAAACTGCAGACCCTGGATATGTCACGCCTGCAGTGGTTCAACGCATCAGTGACGCCATGCAAGAAGCGATGGAAGGTGGTAAGAGCCCACCGATGGTTAACACTTGTCGGAGATGTAAACTGCTCAAACCTTTTCGGGCTCATCACTGCAGCTTCTGTAATCGTTGTGTGCTGAAAATGGGTAAGGCGCTTTTCTCTTTTTCAGTTTGCATCCACGTATTGACGTCATTTTTACCAGATCATCACTGTCCCTGGGTCGCGAATTGTGTCGGCGAAGGCAACTACAAGTTCTTCTTCCATTTTGTCGTGTACGCCTTCTTAGCTCTGTCAATGTGTGTGAGGGCACTGTCGGGACCTTTCCAAGCGGCTCTCTTCAGTGAGGATGCACCCCGAGGTGCTGCGAACTTCTCGGCGATGGCAGTTGTCGGATTTGTACTGGGTGGAGCGCTGGCTATTAGTCTGCTGGGATTTATTGCTGTCCACTCGTACCTCTTGGTCCACGGTGCTACCACGATCGAGTGCCATCAGTACGGCCGTGCCTTCCCTTTCAATCAAGGCTGGCGGAAGAACTTCAACGACGTGTTTGGCGATACGACAAAAGACTGGTTACTACCCACAACACCAGCACGGAAGCAACGCTACGTTTTGCATCCAGCGGAGCTAGAGCACCTCACTGCAGACAGCTGCTTCGGCGACTCCAGTGACCAAGAAGATGACAGTTTGCTATAGTAGAAATCGCACTCATGCGCAATATCGATTCGTTCATGTTACCTTGGTGCCTGATGTGCTTTGCTATCGCGAACTTAACCCTGCTAACCACTACTTAAGATCCAAGCTCGTACTGCAGCAAGCACGTATCACCTGACATCTTACTGAGGAGGAATCTCGCCGGCGTGGAAAACGAGCGAGACGCTGTTGACACAGTGACGCTCGTCTGTTGGCGTCTTGAATCCCTCGCCCTTGAACACGTGACCCATGTGACTGCAAAGCAAAGTGTCAACACAATTCGTCAAGTTAACTAACCAAATACCACCGCTTAACAGCTTTTGCTTTCTCACCCGTCGCATTTGGCACACATGATCTCCGTGCGATGTCCGTCAGCGTCAGGTACAGCCTAGAACATCAAGTATATTAACATAAGTACTATAGTAACAACCACACTGCTCTCGTAGCCCAGCTATTATGCAGCGCACCTTGATGGCGCTCGGGATGGCGTCGTAGAAGGCAGGCCAACCGCAGCCAGAGTCGAACTTGGTGGTGGACGTGTACAGAGCCGTTTTGCAGCCAGCACAGACGTACACACCCGTTTCCTTGTGCTTGTTGTACTCTCCAGTACCGGCGCGTTCCGTGCCCTTGAGACGCAGCACCTGAAACTGCATGGGCGTCAGACGCTGCTTCCATTCCTCATCCGAGAGTTTCACGGCGTCACTGCTGGACATGTTACTGGACGCAAAAGCGGAGACAAAAGTTGGAGAGCTTCTACTAGAGACCGACGGGGATACGAAGCGTGAGCGCAATGGAAGCGACAGCAACGAGCGCACCCACTTGTTCATCCACGGCACAAATTGAAGAGTGAAGGTCATGATGCAATTAATCTTTTAGACCCGCGGGCTGGAATGACCCGTGGGTCGGGCGCGACACATACAAAAAGTTATAGAAATGAGCCCGAGTCTACTCTTACAAAATGCAAGTGAAGCTCCCTCTTCAGACAACAAGAAGGCAGGACAAGGACGATCATGGTGTTAGCGGAGTTGGGGTCGAAGCTGCAGGGCGCGCTGGCCAAGCTGAACCGCACGACTGTGGTGGATGACGAGGTGTTCAACGCGCTACTTAAGGAGATCTGTGGTGCGCTGCTCGAATCGGACGTGCAGGTGAAGCTCGTCCGTCAACTACGTGACAATGTCAAGCTGGCTGTGAACCTCGAGGACGCGAGTTCGGGCGTGAACCGCCGCCGCCTCATCCAGAAATCGGTGGTGGATCAGCTCGTGCAGATGCTGGAGCCCGAGGCGCAGCCCTACAAGATGAAGAAAGGTCAGAGCAACGTCATCATGTTCGTCGGACTGCAGGGTAGCGGTAAGACCACGAGTATCGCCAAGTTCGCGCATTTTTACCAGCGCAAGGGCTGGAAAACGTGTATGGTTTGTGCCGATACCTTCCGAGCCGGTGCGTTTGACCAGCTTAAGCAGAACTCCACCAAACTACGCATCCCTTTCTACGGTAGCTACACAGAGGCCGACCCGGTCCGCATCGCAGAGGAAGGTGTGGCCCAGTTCAGGGCCGAGAACTACGAGCTCATCCTCGTGGATACCAGTGGTCGTCATAAGCAGGAGGCCGACCTATTTGCCGAGATGAGGGAGGTCTCAGCGGCCGTACAGCCCGACGATGTCGTGTTCGTTATGGACTCCACTATCGGTCAGGCCGTGTACGACCAGGCCAGTGCCTTCCGTGAGACGGTGGATGTCGGCAGTGTGATCATTACCAAGCTAGACGGTCACGCTAAGGGCGGCGGTGCGCTCAGTGCTGTCGCTGCTACAGGCTCGCCTATTATTTTCTATGGTACGGGAGAACACTTTGCGGACTTCGAGTCGTTCAACGCGCAGAGCTTCGTGAGTCGTCTAATGGGCATGGGAGATATTCGTGGACTCATGGAAGAAGTCAAGACCAGCGGCATGCTCGACAACCAGGAGGAGATGGTCGAGAAGTTCCAGAAGGGCGTGTTCACGCTGCGTGACATGTACAAGCAGTTCCAGAGTGTGATGAAGATGGGGCCGCTTAGCAAGGTCATGTCCATGATCCCTGGTCTTCCGCAGGGTATGAGCGAGATGATGAACATGGGAGGAGGCGAGGAAGAGGCCTCCAAGCGACTCCGACGGTTCCTCTTTATGATGGACAGTATGACGGACGCTGAGCTCGATGGCATTGTACCGCTGTCGGAGTCGCGCCAGACTCGTGTTGCACGTGGTTCAGGCTGTCAGTTGTATGAGGTAGAGTTCCTACTCAAGTGCCACAAGCAGTTTGCAACTGTTGTGAGCCGCATGGGCAAGAGTGGCCTCATGAAGACTGGCGACGCGGCACTGGGCAAACAAATGTCTCGCAACCCGAACGCCGTGATGCAGCAGCTCTCGAAGGTTATGGACCCCAAGATGATGGCGCAGATGGGCGGTCCACAAAACATGATGCGGATGATGAAGCAGATGCAAGGAATGGACCCCAGCGCACTAGGCGACATGGCCAAGATGGCTCAAAGCATGGGAATGAAGATGCCTTTTTAGATTCACCCAGCTGCCTTTTCAACCGTGAGGAAGGACTTGGCAATCGAGACGACAATACTACGAGTGCTCACTTACATTGACGAAGTGCATTTTCTTTTTTTTTAGTCATTTCGAGGAGAGTCCATTATGTCAAGTATAATTAGGCTAGCTCTTTGGAAAACTATGGCACGCTGTTCGTGCTAAAATTGCAGCGCTTGCAGCACGAAACGAACATTTGCCAGGTCTTTCCTGAGCAACAAACAGCCCACCGTAGGTCTGTGTTTCCATCTACGAGCGGCTCGACCTGGTAGACGGACGAGGCGAGGGTGTTCGGAAATCGGTGGATGCTGGTATCTTGGGCAGCTGTATGGTCGTGAGAGGGCTTGACGTGCCGCCAGCTAGACATTTTTAAGGGCGGACCCTCGGTCATGACACGTACATTAATCCATCCCTGGCATAAGAAAGTTCACGACACAGCGACGGTGCGGTTGGGTCCGCTTGCAAACTCACCTACACGATCGAGTATCGAAGGCTCGCGTACTACGACTGCATCATCTTCGGATAACAACAGTCCACATACGCTTGGCTCACGTACTTTCCACCGAGCTACTACTATGGCGAATTTCGTTCATGGTAATGCTATCTCCGTCGTGAAAGGATTACCTCGAAAACGGAAGCTGCAGCAACAGAAATCATTGCCAGATTCTTCGTTATACACAGCACCAAGACGAGTTCGAAGAAATGACCTCGTTCCGATAGTACAGGCGGAAAAAATAAAGTACAGTCGGTGGTTCATCCAACCGCGTGCTACGTGGAAAGTAAGATGGGACCTCTGGATTGGATTCATTATTGCTTACAGTGTCGTCCTGATCCCGTATCGAATCGGCTTCGGTATTGAACTCGCGGTAAGTGTTTTTTTTACGTTAATGTTAGCGTAATGTGGCTAAATCATGTTGATTGTGCTGGTTTTAGGGGTGGGAACAAGTTATGAACTATTGTTTTGATAGCAGCTTCGCCGTGGATGTGATATTCAACTTTTTTACCGGGTATTACGACGAGGATGTGTTAGTCTATGAGCTGCGCAGAATCCGGCACCGCTATCTTCGCAGTTGGTTCCTTTTCGATGTGGCATCGACAGTTCCTCTAGATCAATTTTTGCAGGTGGTTACTACCGCGTCATCCTCGCTGCTCACACTCAAGCTTATCCGAGTCTTTCGGCTGTTTCGGTTGCTAAAACTCATGCGATTATTACGATTAAAACGGACGATGGAAGCAGTTCAAGTGGATGCGCTTAATGCGCACGTGCTGCAGACTATTAAGAGCTTACTCACAATTATCTTCATTATCCATCTCGTGGCATGCGGGTGGTATATGTTTTACACTTGGGACCCCACGGGGAAGAATTGGGTCACGAATATTGAACCAGAAGGCTTCAAAAATCCCTATCTTGTAAGTTTCTATTGGGTATCGAATACCATGATGTCCGTGGGTTATGGAGATATCTACGGGGTCACCGATGGAGAGCGATTATACTCAATTTTCGTAGCATGTCTCGGTTCAATTTGCGTCGGTATGATCATTGCGAACATCCAAATGTTAACAGAGAACTACAATCCTCGCGGTATTATGCTCAAGCAAAAGCTCCAAGACACCAAAGAGTTTCTTATTAAACGCGGTATCCCACGTCGTCTTCGCCAACGCGTTATCTCGCAATTTGAATTCCACTGGAGCCATCGCACAGTATTTGACGAAGAGAACTTGCTGCAACAGTTTCCTAGAAGTCTGCAATACGAGATTCTTGCTGCCTCCATGGAGTCATTTGTGAAAAAGTTCCCATTTTTCGGCAGGACCTCTGTGGAATTTTTCGTGTTCGCAATACCTCGACTTCGACCCATCGTCCTGGGCCCTGGCCAAGTTCTTGTCGATGCTGAAAGTGTGTGGGAGGAACTCTATTTCTTGACATCAGGCACCGTGGAAACTGTGCAATCTAATCTGGTTGTAGGATCTCTCTCACCCGGTGAAATTTGTGGTATTGAGTACCTTGTAAACGCTCGTAGACGGTATACCCACACGTATCGCTCGATCTCAAAGACAGAATTGTATGCAATGTACAGCAGTGATCTACTCGAAGCGATTAACAAATGTCCAGTAGCGCACAAATATCTTGAAGATTTGGCTGTCATTCTTGGAGAACGGTACGAAGAGTCCGCAAGACGGGGAAAGCGAGCACTTCTACGACAACGTTCCATTCGCGCAGTTCGACGAGAATCGTTAACGAAAGGAGAGCCTTATCTGCACAAACGGCATCGCAAGTCCATTTCAGCTGGAAATATAAGCACGATGCCATCCGACTTCATTACTCGAATGGACATGAGCGTTGCCGGCGATGAAGTAGTGACCCACTGGTCGGTAATTCGTCACTATTCCAAGTTGCGAATAACGTGGGATATTGTAATGGGTATCATGGTTTCTATCACAGCCGTCACTGTGCCATTCCGAATCGCCTTCGACGTGCAGGATGTACTTGTCTTTTACGCCACCGATCGTATCTCGGACGTTTTGTTTGTGATCGATGTCATTCTCAGCTTTTGCACCACATACGTCGATGATACTGGAGTGGAAATCGTTGATCGCTACGAAATTCGTAGACATTACCTGAAAACCACATTCTTCGTAGATATTGCATCAACAATTCCTTTTGACTTCCTCGTGGAGGCGGCGGCGACAGGCAACATATTCAGGTCGTTACGTTTAATCCGCACTCTCAAACTGATCAAGCTGCTTCGACTCATGCGGTTGTCTAAGTTGCTTAAGATGAACTCGCAATGGATGGCTGAATTTGATATTAACGTTGATACCGTTCGACTTCTAAAGCTTCTCGCCCCAGTGATGATCATTGCGCATTACGTAGGATGTTTCTGGTACTATATATCTGCAGATCGTGCTGCAGACGATGCTTGGTGGGGGAATCCGATTCTGTATTTCGAAGATCCTGAGTCGATTCTCTCGAAGTACATTGCCAGTATCTACTGGGCAATTACGACTATGACCACTGTGGGATTTGGAGATATCTACCCGGTTAATGATTTCGAAAAGGGCTTCTGCATTTTAGTCCTAATTGGAGGCACCACGTTGTTTGCGTATGTGGTGGGAACTGTCATTGAAGTGGCAAGCAATTCGAAAAGTTTAATGAACCGAGAGCACGAAATGGTCCAACGAGTAAATGCGTACATCAAAGAACGCGGGGTATCGTCCGAATTCATCGTGGCTTGTCAAGAACACTTGAGATTCGTGGATGCAGAGAAAACATTCTTTGTCGAGAACTCACTATTTGATGCTCTCAGTTATTCCTTACGCAGCGAGCTGATTTTAATACTCAACGGAGGTGTAGTTTCAAAAATTCGCTTCTTTGACAAAAAACCAAAATGGTTTCTGACGTTGATTTTACCACGACTGGTACCGCAATTTTTTCTCGAAGGAGACATTCTAATATACCAGGATAATCCCGTAAGCGGCATCTTTTTCATCATGAACGGTGCTGTTATTGCCAAAACACGCCATTTTGCACCGGTGCCAAACACTCACGCCACAATGTCGAGCGGCAGAAGTCACTCATCTTCGGAGCCTATTTTTGCGGACCATCAGGGTACGATTGCCAAGATTTTTGAAGGAGAATTTTTCGGATACAAGGAAACTTTGACGGAAACTGTGGCACGGTACAATTTATTCGCAATGCGAGCTACAGGGACTTATTTACTATCACGAGAGTGTTTGGACGAGTTTGAGACCCAATATCCGCGAGTTATGGACGAAATCCGGTCATTGATTGTTCAGTCAATCACACGACAGCAGAAAATAGTCCCTGGATGGCAAAATAATGACGCTATCAGTCTCACACCCTCGGATCGAGACCGGGTGGCTGAGATAAATATCGCTCGTCGCGGAGGCGACTACGACTCTATCCGAGCAAGTGTAAGTGGGGCTGTCATGCCTAAACGAAAGTATTCATCGTTTGCCGCGCCGATTGGGTATTCCTTTGGGGATATAGCCAACGCTGCGGCCGCAGCGGCGTTAGCTGCTCAGACTGAACCTGGTTCCGGTGCGAGTACGAGTCGCTCCGATGGACAGGACGAAGAAACAACTGTCCAACCTTTGGAGCATACCACCGATGAACGGGTACCAAAAGTAGCACGACGTTCAGGCACAGCTCCGCAAAAAAAACGTCCTACTCTGTTGCCAGGTCTAGTGGAGCCGATGGAACCGCTATCAAGCGAAATAAATACGACCGGCGCGATGTTCGTTCCAGCTACTCTCACTCCGCGACGTCCGAATAGTGCCACGTCGTTGTCGACGGTGCACCCTTCAGGAGCTGACCATACGCCCCCAATTCGACTGCGACCTGATGGGGCTGCTAATATGCGGTCCTTTCATAGTGCTCACAGGTCAAGTGTATCGATGCGAGATATCGGCAGAAATCAGCGCCGACCTTCGGAAAGATACTTATCCATGCGCAAAAATGACGTGACGGCACTTGTTGACGAGCTATTAAGTGGTGAAGGGTTCGACATCCAACGTACTGTGTCAGGCCGAACCCAGAAACCGACAGTGACAAACTGAGGTGCGCTGATTAACGTGAGCAGAAATCCCAAAGTGTTTCAAACTAATCGTCTTCATCATCTCTCTCCTCGTCTTCGCTGTCTTCTGCATCGTAGACAGTCAAGCGGCTGGGTGGTATAATGATGCACAAAACCCCTCGAGAAGCAGTCGCAATGACGGAAGTTGCGTTTTTGTTGGAGTGCACAGTAGCAGGTAACGAAGCAACCATTCTGCCTTGAAGTTGAGCAAGTCGAAACGTGTGGCTCGGTCCATGAGCTATAACCGCCTGGAGACAACAAAACATCGTCCTTAATCAGTACACCCCTCGTTGTGTACGTCAGAACAAAACGATAGCATTTTACCTCAAGTGAAGTGGCAGGAGTACAGCGTGAGAACTCAATGTTATCGTACTGCTGGAGATATAGCCATTCTGTATCAAATCAATAGCAGAAAATCGTCAGTCTTGTAATAACTCATCAACAACACTGTCAATTCCTGTGATCAGACAACGTGTACCTTGGTGTACTTGGCCCTCTCCAACACAATCCAGTACGAATGCAAGCCGTTCTGTCTTGTTCGTTGGTGCATCGCCGTAAAAGTCAAAACACTGACAGATGAGTGGACTCGACGAAGATCCATGTGAGAACCTCACAGTTGCGGCCTCCCATTGCAAGCGAGAAGGGTGATCACGTCGTAGCTGTGAAGTTTCCCCATCTTGAAAGGCTCGCAGCAGTAATAAAACACCCGATTGTAATCGAAATCCAAGCAGTGTCATGCTGCAATTGTCAAGACCATCTTGAACTGGTCCATAATGTTTTAAAGCGTCCCAATCAACAGCGTCATCATTTTCCTCATCTTCACTCTCGCCGTCAATATCATCGACATCATCTGATCTATTCGAGAAAAAAGGCAGTCGAAAGCGAACATGGCACTCCTCCACGATACTGCCGACAGTAAAGCACCCACTCTCTTCACGAAGAACGGACTGTGCGAGAGTTCCACCTATCGCATCCAGTATAGTCGACCACTGTTCTTGAAGACTTTTAATGAGGGTAAGGCATCCTACCGTTCCTTTCTCAGTGCCATCACTCAATAGTTCTGGCCGCGTAGATAGCTGGAGCGACACTGGATTCCCAAAACTAGTCTCGACTTTGTAAGCATTGTGATCTGGTTGCTGCTTTTTGAACTGTTTAGCAACTTCTGCAGCTTGATGTAAGAAATCGCAAAGTCTTCGCAAGTTCAGAAGCGATTTTGTGCCGTGTACAGCGCTACCAGCGTCTCGAGCAGACGCATTTGCTCCTCCAGATTGAGGAGAGTCCGAATGAATACGGATGCGTTCAAGAATCCACTGGAAAAATAACGCGAAATCTTGGCGAGTCTCGTGTAGCGCCAACGTAAGTGACTCCACTTCCATGAGAGTATCTTGTGCTGTTTTGACAAGCTCATCAAGGGCATCCACAGTGATCCCCATTGTTATTGCATAAGTCTGTGGGTTCCATTTGACATGACCACGTAACTCCGACACGAGAAACAACAGGTCGACCAAGTCACGCTTCAACTTTTCGTCAACGAGCTTTCTAAGCGTCTCGCACCCACTGAATAACGCCTTCTGCATGCGATGTACGCTCTAATAGGACAAGAATGACAAATACAACGTCAACAATTACGCTATCTTATCGTAATGAAGAGGCTTACCATTTCTTGGATATCTTGAGCAAAATACTGAGCCAACGCAGGCGCAGTAATACCCGTCACAACCACCGACAGCATGTCTACCTGCGGCGGATCTTCGCAGGCATATTTTTCGTAAAGTGACCCGATGAGTCCCATCTTCAGTTCAAAAATACGCGTAGCATTTTTCCATTCCGTCGTCATTTGTCTGCTAGTAGTAGCAATCTGATTGAGTATCTTGTGCACTCGATCTATAGTATTCGCCACTAGAGCCACATCCTCATGGATGTACTGAATACTTGTCATATCCAATGCCACTATCCGGTGCAACTTCGTTTCTCCCTGACCTTCTTTACCAGCATTCTGGCTACTCCTTTTACTCGAGAAAGCAAGCAGAACGAACAGAAGCGACAAATCCGGCGAAAGATCTGCTCGCTCAATCCGGAAGCAATTGATATCATCCCGCTGATGATTCATAGACTCCATAATCTTAAACTCTTCCTCAGCAAAATGTTTGCTCACATCAATACGCGTCAACAGTACTCTTCCCATCCACCACAGTGCGATATATCCTCGCTCGTCCGCAGTGACCAGCACAGTATCATCTATAGCATGATCTTGCGTAAAACCTTTCAGAAATCTCGATGATCGATGGCGGAACTGTAGTTTCGACTGGGATATCAAAGCTGGAGCTTTCCAAACGTCACCAGATGCCTCGATAGCCTTTTGATGTCGTCTTTTGCTGTTAGTACAAGAGATCGAAAGCTCCGCCTCACTGATCTGTGCCCAGTGCATCGCGGTGATGCAATTTTCATGACGAAAATTGCTTTGTCTTCCGGGTAAAATTTCTCCCGATTCGATCTCGAAAATTGCTACATCTCCTTCGTCACAGCCAACTGCGAGCTGGAGACCGTCTGGTTTCCAGGCTAGCGTCATCATCTCGAAGCCGACGTCCGATGGTTTGACGTGCAACAGTTTCTGCCATGACGTTGTTCGCTATTTAATAAGTAGGAAAGTTACAATTAGTTCGTGGATCAAATGAAAAATAAATGAAGTAGAGGCCGATAAACTCGCACATGAACGAGAAGATGATGGTCGAGTGTCAGCACGGCAACTAAGTCCATGGTGGGGCAACAAGCCACCGCCAAGGAGCTGACAAAGCGCTCCTGCAGCGTCACAAAGGCGCGTTTTGGTGGCATGCTTTTTTGCCGCTTTTTGGGATCGGATTTCGGATTGGCCAATAAGATCGACTATGAAAAAAAAAAAAAGAATAAATGGCGTTGGTTGGTTTAACCCACTGGGTTATTTTAAAAATTACCCAATCCATTTATATTGGAATAGTACTTTGCTGTTCTTTTTGTACTACTGTTGATTATCGAATAAAAGTAGTGATTCTGGCACTTTCGTAGTATCGCCGGAATACTTCTCCAATTTCAACGGTTGAGTTAGAGCGAGGATGCCTGAACTTTTCAAATCCAATTCTTTTGTCGATGTGGTCGCCACCACCACCAGATCTTGTTGCAAGCTACAACGACATGCGGTGATTATAAGTGAGAATACTATCCAGAGACCGTAACAGCATCAACGGCTTGTAGTTTCAGCCAATCACTTTTAGCCGACACTCCACCAACCTCGCAGTCAGTCAGTCATTCGCAATTGTGCTACCTGCATGCACCTCCAACTTCCGACGTTCAACATGGCCGTCAAGTCTACAATTGATCTAAAGAGTTCGTACCGCGTGGTGGTCGTTGGCGCTGGGATGGCTGGTGTGAGTGTTGCCAACGCTCTGCTAGTGTCCAACGAGTTCGCGGCAAGCGACGTTTGTGTGCTCGAAGCGCAGTCCCGCATTGGTGGACGGATCCGGACGCAGCCGTTCAGCGATTCATTGCCCGTCAATGTGGAGGTGGGAGCCGCGTGGATCCACGGCACTGAGGGCAACCCGTTTACCGATATGGCGAAAAAGTTCGGCATTGTGTTCAAAGAGGTGGCTCCGCGGAATCCGTGGCTGCATCCTGGTGCGTGCAAAAACTTTCTGTTCTTCGACGGCGATAAGCAACTACCGCAGGAGCAAGTCGATGAGACGTGGCAATGGCAAGATCTTCTCATGCACAAGCTGCAGGATCTGGCAACGTCGCCCAATGCGGTCGACCACCAAGATAAGGCTCTTTCGGCTATCGTCGACCACCTTGTGGCGTCGGACGAGGAGCTCGGGGAGGCGATGAAAGCCCCGAATGCACGCGCAAGACTGGATATGTGTCTGAAGCTGATTGAGGTTTGGATGGGGGTAAATGATGATGAAGTGCAGCTCGACGACTTCACCGACATCGAACTGATTGGGTACGTGCCCAATAGTTGTCTTATTGCTCTGTTCAATACTAACTTCGTATTGTGATATTGGTACATGCGCAGTGATGACGCCGGTGCGCACTGCATAGTTCCAGCAGGAATGGAACACTTCATCGATCACCTAGCGGAGCCTGTGAAGGAATCGATCCACACGAACGTGGTCGTCACTTCCATCAACTACGAAGATAAAGACGGTGTTGTGATCGAGTGCAGTGACGGACGTCGCGTATCGGCTGACCATGTCGTTGTGACTTCGTCGCTCGGGTTCCTGAAGTCTGGCAAGTTGCATTTTCAGCCTGAGTTGCCTGCAGCCAAACTTGGTGCTATCGAGCGCTCCAAAATGGGCCAGTACATGAAGATCCTCGTGGAGTTCCCGGAAATATTTTGGCCTGAAAACAGCACCTTCATCGCACAGATCAAGAACTCGTCGGTTTCTAGTGATGCCACGGATCGTCGCATCTACTTTCCGGTGGTATTCAACTACCAGTTTGCGAAGGGTGTGCCTATCATCGAAGGAGTCTTGGTCGGTGAGAATGCCAGCAAAATCTCTGCTACGTTTACGGAGGAGGAAATTGCACATGCGCTCTTTCTACAGCTACAAGAGACGTTTGGCCCGAACATCCCGCGTCCAGTGAACCACTTCATCACAAGGTAGGTGATCTACTTGCACATGCTGGCTTCTTTTGTTTCTAATGGAGCACTACAGATGGGATCAGGACCCGTGGTCGATTGGTGCCTACAGTTCTCTCACAGTGGACAGCACGGACGAAGACCCAGCGATCCTACGCCAGACTGTGGCAAACCGCGTATTGTTCGCGGGTGAGGCCACGGACTACAAGTACCAGGGCGCACTACAAGCTGCGTATCTCTCGGGTAGGTGTTAGCCGTCTGCTGAAGTCATTTATGTTGATTTCTAAGTTTATTTTGCGCAGGCCTAAAAGCTGCAGCGGAAATTGTGGACTAACTGCAACCCTGGTGTTAGCGTTTGATGCCGAGCTAAGCTCGTGCAAAAATTTTAAGAATGAAGCTGTTGTCTTGCTCTAAATCGCTTTTAAATCAAAGTAGAATTTGCTTTTATTTGAATGCCATTCCGTATTCTCCGAAAGATGTATCGCCAGGAATCATTCCTGGAGCTAATCTGTACGTGCGCGTCCTGTTGATGAAAGTCGCATCTCCAGGACAGATTCTCGTAACGTAAGCTTTGTTTACAAGGGTACAACCAAAAGGACACGTTCCGTAACATAAGCATCCTGAATTTGCCTTCATCGTTGTCAATGACAACTTGTTGTACAAGCACATTTGAGAGCGTTGCAATAGCAATAGCCAGCAGGCACATTGAAAGCGTTACGACTGAACTTGAAGATACCACGACAAGAATCCCCGGATTCAATCCGGCGGCTTGTATTATACTTCCCAGTGGTTTGACAGCGTTTACCGTTGATGCCACCACCGCCTTGTTGACGACAAAAGTATCCGGTGATCATCTTTGCGTAACGTAAGCGAGCTGGACGTATTTGAAGTGCTGCAACATGTCCAGTTGCTGCAAAGCTTATCAAGATGACAAGCTCGAGGTCACGCGCATATGGCATGAATGCGTGTCGTGTGGCGAAATCGAGGCCTCCCATCCCACCTTGAAGTGCCTCGTGAGCGGTAAGCTTTACCGGGTAAAGCCAACAGATCCCGCGGGAGCGAACGCACTGCGTTTGCTGCGTCGACGGCTCTTGAATACGAGTCTCCGTTACATTGCTTGTGTTGTTTTCGAGCGCTGAACATGTTACCACGTCGCTTATCGAGCTGCCGCGAAACATCATCACGACAATCTCCATGAATCCGCTCCAGTCTGCAACAGTTATTATGAGTGAACTCCTCAAACTACGGTTAACCAGAGCTAACCAAGCGAAGCTCATTCTGCAATTTGCCAAGCAACAAAGATGCCCAATATCACTCTTGAAACGACCGAGACTTCACTCGAAAGTAGCTATCGCGTAGTAGTTATCGGGGCTGGGCTTGCCGGTGTGAGCGCTGCAAACCAACTCCTTTCGTCTGGTCACTTCGACTCCAGCGACGTGTGCGTGCTGGAAGCACAGTCTCGCATTGGTGGACGTGTGCAAACTAAGTCCTTTAGCGACGCACTCCCCGTGAACGTGGAGGTGGGAGCTGCTTGGATCCACGGAACGGAGGGCAACCCGTTCGCCGCGTTGGCCAAGCAATTCGGCATCTCTTTCAAAGAGATCAGCCCGAGGAATCCATGGCTTCACCCGGGCTCGTGCCCGAACTTCCTGCTCTTCAACGGTAGTCACCAATTGAGCGAACAGCACACGAAGGACGCTTGGGAACTTCAAGAGCTGCTTATGTACAAGCTCCAGACGCTGGCGAGGTCGGACCTCGGTGACGATCACCGAGAGAAGACGCTATCTGCTGTAGTGGAACACCTCCTTGTCTCGGACCACGAGCTCGTCGAGATCATGGCCGATGGCAAGGCTCGCGATAGAATCGATTTATTCCTGCGGTTAATGGAGGCTTGGTTCGGCCTTACCACCGATGATCTCAACCTCGACGTGTTCGTCGATACCGATCTAATGGGCGACGACCCTGGCGCTCACTGCATCGTCCCCACGGGTATGGAACGCTTCATTGAGCACCTAGCCGAACCCATTCGTGACATCATTCACACGAACGTGTCGGTGGCGTCAATAAACTACGACAGTCCAGAAGGAGTGATCATTGAATGCACCGATGGACGTCGTGTGACAGCCGACCGTGTCATCGTTGCAACTTCACTGGGTCTGCTTCAGAGCGGCAAGCTCCACTTCCAACCGGAGCTGCCAGACGTGAAAACTGGAGCTCTCAAGCGATCTAAGATGGGTCAGTACATGAAGGTATTGGTGCAATTCCCTGAGGTCTTTTGGCCCAAACACGCTACGTTTATGGGGCAGCTTAAGAAGAAAGACTCAAGCGATGGTCGTCACATTTACTTCCCGCTGGTGTTCAACTACCACCTCGCCAAAGGTGTGCCTATCCTGGAAGGCGTCCTGATCGGCGACAATGCCAGCGCCATTTCGGCTTCATTCACTGACGAGGAGATCGCACACGCACTGTTCTTGCAAATGCAAGAGACGTTCGGGCCTGCAGTCCCTAAGCCCATCAACCACTTCATCACTCGGTAGGTTCTTTTTTTCGGTTGTGTCATTTTTTTTAGTTACCCTTGCTAACCTGGTGCTGTTGCTTGAGCAGTTGGGATCAAGACCAATGGTCTGTGGGCGCATACAGCTGCGTCACCGCGCGGAATGCACACGAAGACCCGGATCTATTGAAGCAAACGGTGGCAAATCGAGTGCTCTTCGCGGGCGAGGCTGTAGATCCCAAGTACCAGGGTGCGCTGCAAGCGGCGTACTTCACCGGCCTTGAAGCGGCGGCGGAGCTCGTCACCCAGAA